CATAAAATTACCAATTTTACCATTATAAAAATGGATTTATACTTTGGATAAACACGTATTACACGTGACCCATGAATTTCGTGATATGTGTTTTAAGAGATCTAAACAAAATAGTTAAATTAAAACAATGAACAATTTGTATTCATCATTCCTTGTTAAAAGATAAATTATTTAAATAGAAAAAATGAATAAAAGTTCTATACATAGGAATATAAATATAACAATCAAATTTTTTTTTCTATAAAAATCACAACTCGAAAAATTAATAAAATATGTTTTTTTATGAACAATAATTGAACACATTCAAAAATATGAAAAATAGGCTAAATATTCTCTAATGTCCAAAATATGCTAAAATTTGTAAAATAAATATTTTCCAAAGAACTCTATGATGGGTAAATCGTTTACATTTTTCATCCTCGTAAATCTGCATAAAGCCAATAAAAAATGTGTAAAAACCTAAAGATCTCTAATTATAACACTATGACAAAACAACTTTAAAATAATTTTGCTTATGAAAAATGATTATATTATGTCTAAGGTTAGGCCAGTGGTAGATCCATGGTCCTACCTAGCCCGCTCTGGCACCACCATTATCCACATATAAAAAAAAATAATTGATCACTTTTGACCTACTGCTGCACCTCCATATTTAATGTAAATGTCTCAATATTAACCATTGACTATCGATCTATTGTCCCTACCCACTGAAATCGATGGGAGTTTCTACTTTGCACCACTGTAGCTAGGTAGTCAAAAGTAGTGATTGTAATTTGCACCATTATAAGGATATGTAATTTGCACCACCCTCAGGTAGTCGAAAGTAGAATTTTTAATTTTCACCAAAATGAGTATCTGTTTGATTATTCCTCGGTGTCTTCGTCGACGTCGAAACAAGAATCGAATGACAGTAATCATTTTTTGGGATTTTTTGCAATACCTGGTAATATTTTGATTTTTGACGTACAATTATCTTTCGTATTCGCATTTTATATATATTTTTATATAATGTATATCAGTTTATTATTTTTATCGAATACTAAGCTAACCGTTTAGTCTTCCCGTTTCATGGTAAAAAATATGTACCAAAGTTTATTTTATTGCAATTAAAAATGATTATTTCCAGATTATTCCATTTTCATTTAACCGGTTTTTAACCGACACAAAATGCTATCAAGATCCTGGTATGTTTGTATATAGTCACTGGTGGTTCTTCCTTTAGTGAAGCCGAATTGATATTTTCCTACTTGTCTACTATATCAATTGCGAATGCTTCTATCCTTTGTAAGATAGTTATTGAGAGCACCTTATATGATGTGTCTAATAGTAAGATAATTATCAACTTTTGTTGCATACCTCTTTCTTGAAGATTAGACAAATAATCAATGATATCCGTTCCTGTTCTATTTGTTCACTATTGTATACAATTGTTATAATTTGATGTAGATTGATTAATATTTATTTTTCTACGATATTTAGTAGTATAGAATTTATATTATCATTTCCTGGAGATTGATTATTTGTTATTGACATACCTAATGATTATTTAAATTTCCTCGATATTTGATACTAGAATTTCATATTCTACTGTATAATACTCTAATTATTCGTAGATTTCATTGCCGATACTTCCCATTTTGTTATTTATCAGTTCTTCAAACAATTCCTGAAATTTATATTTAAAATCTCGTTTGGTTCTGATATTATATTACCACTTTTGTCTGTGATGTTATACGCGCTTTATACCCTTTTTTAACCGACCTACACTTATTGAAAAACAATCTCGGTTCTTTCTTATAAAATTCGATAACTACTATAACTTTTTTTTTCCATTGCACGTTTCTGTTGCCTTCGTTTTTTTTATTATTTTGTTTTTTTATAACTTTATTTTCTAATGTTATAAGTTATGAATATTTATTTATGTTTTCAAGTGAAAGATTTAGTATCATATTTTGCCTATATAAACCTTTGTTGTTAACCGTAACTCGGTACTCCAAAATATATCAACAATTTTTATTTGATTTTACACTCTTATCTTGTAATCTTTCAGCGGATTTTGTTATTGATTATTTTGTCTTTAGTCATAACTTATTCGATTCATGTTCATGTTTTGGTAGATTATATTTTCTGAGATTTTTGGATATTTCTCTTTGGTATGTCACTATTCCCTTTGCGTTCCTAACTTTTTCTATGTCTAGTTTGTTATTATTTCCTCCATTCCTCCATTTTACTGATAGCTTTAGTGCAACAACTAAAAAATGTTCTTTGGGAAATAAGTGCTGCTAACTTTGAAATCTTTTGAGTACAAATCAACTATCATGTGACTATTTTCATTTGTGGTAGCGTGTCAGCTCTCTTTTCCGATCGTTTGTCCAAAGGATATTTTTTCTACATACTTAAGCGTTTTAATCGCCAATAATTAATCTAACACAGTTTTTAGGTATTGCGTTATTGGTAAGTTATTTTTAATGTACCATAGAAATTATTATTCTTTTCGGTATATACCAGATGACATATATCCTAGGGTGCCCAAAATTGAAAATTCAGGGGAGGGGCAACATTCATTTTTATTAATAATCAAACACTTTTATACTAATTGAATATAAATTGCAATTTTATTTTATTTTTCCCAAATTCATCAACAAATTTTTTAGCTAAATTAAGTTTTTCGATTTTTTTTTTTTTGTGTAAATTTAACATACATAATTCGAATAAACGATTCTCACACATTGTTGAATGTAATCAGCTATAAATATTAATACACCTTGGTACCAACTATGATTTTTGGGATTTTGGGTTATTTAATTTGGAAATAATTATTTTAAATAGCTGGAAAGCTAGGGGTAGTTATCCCCCCTGCCTTTCCTTGCGGGTGCCCTTGCATATATCGTTATAATACAAATCATTAAAATTATTTATTTATATTAAATATATATTAAATTTATTTATTAAGCTAATTTTATCTTTCATGGACAAAACTTTACCATAGGAGAACGAATTCTGGGAATCGTAGATACATATATCATAGATTATAAACCTATTGATAATGATCACCGATCACATGTGTCTCCTCTCTGGATTTTTAATGATGGGCGTTATTGAATGTGTAGGAGCTTAACATTTTTATTTTAAAAATGTAAAGGTTTAAAAAAAAATCGTTGAACATCAGAGCAATCTTATTAATTGACCGAATAAAAAAAATAAAAAAGGCACTCGAATGATGATAAAACCAAAACAATTTAGTGGGGCTCATCGACCTAATTCGACACTGGTGGCGCCGTAGGTACATCGATTTCGAACAGTGGACACAAAAAGTATTTCTTTATCACGAGATACATAATATTTTATTTACTAAAACCGACGTCTCACCACTGTCCCCTTGTCCAAATTGTAAAAATCAATAAAGTTTAGTATGTGTATATATGTATACGCGGTTGTGAACACTGCGTATGTACAATTATACACTAACACTAATTCCTTTTTCTTTATTCTCGCAATAATATCACACTTGGCATCCTATTTTACAATTGACTTATACAGTCTGTTTTGCTTTTAATCAGTTTTAAACAGTTGCACACATTTTTAGAATCTTATTTTATTATTACGATTTTTTATTTATTTCGTATGGTACGATTTACGATTTCATCATGAGTTGCCACTGCAGCATTTTACAGTACGGCGATCACTTGCGGTGGTTAGGTTACATTATTTGTATTTAAGTGATGCGACAGCTGATAAATTCTTATTTGAACTATTTTTAATAGAAAATTTCAATTATTATTTTACCTGTTTAATTCGAGTGTTTAAAATTCTTAAAAGTACAGAATAAATATTTTGTCCTTATTTTATTTATGTTGATTGACCTATGTAATAACAAAAAATAAGTACATTTTTTTATTAAAGTGTTTAGTTAATGGATATCTTCCCCGAGATTATGCCATTGGTCAGGGGTTAGTAGCGCATAGCCCATAAAACACTCAGAGGCATAACCGTGAATATGCTATAGTCGCTCTGTATTACGTATTTACGTGTTATTTTATACGATCACCGGCACCATGCACCATTTGGCCCGGGGGTGAGCCGCACGTCCCAGATTCCCGCAGGGGAATATAAGCGTTTTCAGTACGGCCGCACACGCGCGCTGAAAGTAATTCGCGGTAGTGAAATAATTATACGATTCTTCGAAGTCTACAGCGCATATAGCATGATCGAAGAGAGAGTGAGTGAGAGAGAGTGAGTGAGAGAGAGTGAGTGAGAGAGTGTATGAAAGAGTGAGAGTAAAAGAATGATAGTGAGAGGGAGATTGAGTAAGAGAGTGACACACGACGATCGGTTTGTGTTCCGCACCGACAGAATCACCAGGCTAGTCCACGGCGGCGGCTTCGTAGTTAACCATTACCGCAGTCGTCGTCATAAGTACATTATACCGGGGAGCAGGTATATGCGATACACGAGGCATTGAATACCATTACCACCGTCGTCGTACGGATCACGGCAGCGGCGCGATTCGGGGAGAAGGGTGTAGGTCGCGTACACCTCGACCGCTCGGCGGCGAAGCTCACGGGCTTCGGCTAGGCTGGTGCTGTTTGTGTTGCCAAGAGGAGATAGTATTGCGCGCGGCAGTGGCGACGATTATGGCTAATGGTGGGGGTGGTGGTGTGGACGGCGGCGACGTGCGGTACGTAATGTCGAGATGGGTGTTTGCATGTGTGTGAGTGAGTGAGTGAGGAAGTGTGTGTGTGCGTGTGTGACCGACTGCGGAACATTGATACGTACGGCGGCCGGGTTGCGACGATAGCGTTTAGGGGCGCGGTGAGGGGAGCAACGGAATACGAAAACGAAGAAGAATCGGTGGAAAAACAACACACGGGCTGCGCACATCGTCGTACCGCACGCACTCACACACACACACACATGCACGTACGCGCGCCCGCGCCCGCGCACGTAGCGTATTTAACACGCACACACGTACGTCGCGTTTACGCACACTCATGCGGACGCGCCATATTGAATCCAACGTCCGCGTTCGCACGCGCATGTGTGTGTGTGTGCGTTAATTTTCGCGTATCCGGCCATTACCCGCGCGCGACCTGTGAGTGTGTGCGCGCGAGTGTGTACCCACTGTGGCTATCCGCGTGAACATAATTGTTATCGTAATACAAAATAATATAAGGTTTTTAAATATATGTTCAAATCAACGATACGATTTGTACGGATTTGTTCGGACGTTTTCGTTTCTGTTATTTATTTGTTTATTTTTTTTTTTGAGACAATTTCCCTTGCCCCTTCCTGCTTCGTCACGAATCGTGTGTGTGCGCGCGCGCGCGCGTTGAAGAACTCGTGCTGCGACCAGCCGCCGCCACCAGTGCAACAGAGATATCGTGTCCGAGCTTTTTGGATTCTTGTCATATTCAACGATAATGCACTAATAAGCCGAACATATATTTTTTTTTCTCGCCCAACCGACGTATAATAATATAATGAATGTGATCGATTTGGTCACCGTCCTTGGTTGACCCTTTTCATTTGCGTGTGTGTGCGCGTATGTGCGTGCGTGTACGTACGAATTTACAATAATCTTAATAATTAATATTTAATAAAAGTACGTGCGTTCCGAGTGGTTTTTGAAGTTTATTTCCCGTTAGTTTCGTCCGGGTCGTTCGCATGACCACCGCGGTGGCTGCGTTATCGTCGTTTACACCGTCGCGGGTCGCCGTACGACGCGTGCGATTTGTCGTTGCCGATGCACGACAGCGCGATGGCCGATGACGATCAAGCCGCTACTGCAATTAATAAGTGTACGTTGTCGTCGTCGCCGCTGCCGCTGTTATCAATCGGTCGTTACAGTGTTGTTGTGATGTCGGAATCACATTTTGCCGTGTAACCACTAACGCCATCGCCACCACCACCACCACCGCCACCGCCGCCACCGCCGCCGCAGCTGCTGCTGTTGTTGCTGCCGGACACAACAATCCCGAAAAAACGGATTGCGGATAATATCGTCGTGTCTTGTCGTCTTTTGTTCCCGCAGCCGCCATCGATTTATATACTGCGTAAGTATTCGTATTGTTGTTTTGTTATTGTTGTTGTTGTTATTATTCCAACAGTTATAACAATATTAACTTACTACTACCGCGTTCGACGTCGCCGCCGTTGGATTTGTATTATTCCCCGTTAACTGTTAATTTACTCGTTCGTCATGTTCGCGTAAACCTAGTTTTTTTTCGCGTAAGTTATTCGTACGTGTGCGCGCGCTAAAAAATTTGACCGCTTGATGTCCTGTATTTCGCATTATCGTTGCTGCCGCCGCCGCGTATGTCGTTTTTAATCACCTTGACACGAATACACGTTTTGTCCGAATAACGCGAGATGGACGACATCTTATCGGACTCGCAAAACGATTGATGATTGTTTGTGTTTTTCGTCATTCCCTCGGTTTTCCGTGCTGCTGATGATCGTCTGACTGGTAATATTTTCTGATCTGCTGTGTATTGGAATACCTATATACTCTTTAATTAGCCCTATGACATCCTATCACATCCTATCCAAAACATTTTGATTCTGGTAGATCTTGTTGGGAGTTGGGGATTTGATCACAACTCAACATTAGTCAGTATTCAATTGCTTACAAACTCTTCAAGGTGTCAGTAAGCAGTGTTAGGTCTTAATACAATGTTTAGTACAATGTTACTAAAAAGTAAAAGATTCACAGTATTAAGATATTGGCTAGGTTAACTCAATTTTAGAAAAAAATTTTATAAGAACTGATTTGGTTAAAATAATTAAAACAAATTGTTTAAATTTTTAGGTAGCTTCATTTCTAGATACATATGTAATATTAAAAAATGTAACCCTTTTTATCAAACCCTTAATTCCTATATAGATTTCAATAAAATTATTGTTTATAAAATAATAGTCTAAATTATATTAGAAATATTTTATCATGTAAAAACATTTCTTCAATGGCTATCATGTAAACCTTTTTACAGTTATTTAAATTAGTGTGCAATTATGATAATATTTAATTGTTAATTGACACCTAACTTATATATTGCTATAATTTTTGTTTTATTTATTAAACTACCCATTTAACATCAAATATATGTTTTTTCAAATTAATTCAAGGGATTAACTAAACAAAATAAATTACAATTTAATATATAATATTGTAAAAACAAATAAAAATGTGTAAAGAATACTGACTCTGATAACTATAAATTACTTGCGAATCAGTTATTTTATTTTGATGTTGTTCCAATGTTGTATTATTATAGAAAATTATAAAATAAAATTTTTTTCTCTCTGCACTATTCAATCTAATAATTGGTTTGCAGCAACATCCATGTTTCTTTATCACTAGCCTTTCTCTTAAACTCTTGATATGAATTACATTCTTGATCTTCTATTATCTGACTTATGTATTGCACCTTTTGGTTTTCCTCTACGATAGTTTCCATTAATTATTCCTTCTTAAATTAGTAATAGCAGCCCTTCATGTCTTAAAATATGACCTATTAATTAATTTTGACTTTTCTGTATACTCTTCCATATTAATTTCTTTTCAGATACCATTCTAAAACTTCTTCATTAGTAATTCTATCAGTCCAATTTATCTTTTATGTTCTCTGGTTAAATGCCTCTATTATTTTTTCTCTTGTAATAGTCTATGTTTTGCATCTAACAAGATGCTTCAGATGTATATTTTTAGTAGATTCTTCCTGATGATAAGCTCAATGTTTTTTGAAGTAAAAAGACTTATTTTCTAATTAAATGCCCTCCGAGCTTATAGTGATACCCAAGTATAGGAAATATTCTACTTTTTCTACAGTTTCATCATTCTGTAATTGTATTCTTGTTCTTGTGTTATTGTCTTTACTACATACTCTACAACTTTTGTCTTCTTTGCACTTATTTTCATATGTCAATCCTTTTTCATTAGTTCGAACCTCTAAAATTTTACTTAAATCAAATAAAAATACAACAGCCTCAAGTATCCCTGCGGCTCAAGCCTGCATTTTTACTTTGCTTAGAAAAATAATTTCTGTTCTCAAATTATAAGTACTGATTATAAGCATGATTCATACTATTCAAACACGTGCCGATAGACACCGTTCCATATCGTTTTACAAAATATTTTATTATGTGTTTGAATTTTGGTAATTCATATTTGAATGTTTCCTTTCTGTTCATACATATACTGATCCAACCGAATCTGTCTGGAATTTTTTGCGAGAATCATCACAGAATATTGCAAAGTGCAAACCATAGATCATCCCCTCTAATCCCTGGCCTCATTTTAAAAATGTGGTCTAAGCATAGGGTTTGCCATCACCTGTTTCAATGTTCCTAAAACCTATTTTAGATCTGTTTCATACTCTGCTATTATTGCAATGTTGTCCATGAATGTCAGCATATTTATTCTGTAACTATTTATCTTTATTCTTAATTGTGTTTTCTCTCTTATAGTATCTATGGCCTCTTTAATGTAGGCATTAAATATTAAATGTGATAATTTACAACTCTATCTAACACCTTTCTTTATTTTGTATTCTTTTTGAATATCTCTCATTTTTATAATTGCTATTTCCTTTTTATATAATTGATAGAGCAGTTTTCTTTCCGTGGTTAAAACTTCAGCTCTTTTCCATATTTTAAATATAATTTCCTAGTTAACATTATCAAATGCCTTCTAAATATCAGCAAAGGCATTATTAATCTTAAAGCTAATATTGCTTTTCTCGTACCTATATTTTTCTGAATCCCAATTGGTTCTCTGTTGATATGTCTTTTATCTTCTTTTCCATTCTCTTAAACATAATTTTTTTTAAGATTTTTGAGGTATGTGACAGCAAGTTAATGGTTTGATATTGTTCACTTTTTTTTTTAAATAAGTTTTGTAATTAACATTTACAATACACAAAAAAAATTGATTTAAAATTGTTTAAAAAAAATGAATAATAATGATAATACCATTTATTTGACTTGTGCAGCCCTATTAGTATTCTTTGGAGCCCCCCCCTCCATCTGTATAGTATAAGAAAATAATAAATGCTATCTGATCGACATTATTTACATCAATTTAGTTTGGAATTTTTTAGATTGTGCAAAATTAGTGTTTTGGAAACTAATTCGTTTAACTTCCTTAATAAATATTCCAGTCGTCGGTATAAAATTCATGATTTTTACTTTAAGAAGTGGATTATTATTCATAAACAACTTATTATATGTTGATACTTTAGGTATGTAATTGTCAAAGTATATATTGAGGTACCTATATTTATTATTTGATAATCAGTTTTATGCATTTGTAATATTCAAGTATACAAAATGATATGGTACAAACTAATCAGAACATAGTTTTGTACTGTTCAGGTTTTGTGATATATTTAAAAATATAGTATAAATATACTATAATTAATTATTTTATCCACATTATTATTTATATAAAATAGAAAAAAAACAGGTCGGTAAATTAATTAGTTAATTTTAAATTAATTTTTTAAACTACTTGAAATTTTATTCCTATTTTTAATAGATGTAAATTGACTTAATATCGGGCTTAATATTATTTTGCTATATGTATTGGGTAGTTGGTAAATCAAATTTTAGAAAAGTAGAGTTAATTTGAATAAGTAATGGTTAAATAGCTCTTAACTACTATTATTTACTCGTTTATTTACTAGGTACTAGGGATATTCTTGACCATTAAGTATGATATTAGTAAAATACTGTAATATGATCTACTATTCTTAAATAATTATTTGTATAAAGTTTGTAATAAACTTGTTAAGAGTTATGATGAGCCAATTACAGAGTGATAACCTTATTTTAAAAGGATTTTTTTTCAGACATTTGTAGGTAAATTTGAGTTATTTGAATTTCTTGCTCTTTATGTTTTATAGATTTAACTTAAAATAGTTTTAAAATACAATTAAATTAATTAAAAATAATATAACCATAGTGAAAAAAAAGTATAACTAACTGAGTAAAACTATGCGCAGGGTTTTAAAAAATCACTTAGTAAATTATTACTATTTAAAATCATAATTAAAATAAATAGGCATCTTTATAATTAAACAAATAGAATACTGATGAATGAGTTGAAAATTAAATTGCCCATTAATTGTTATTAATGGACAATTTACTTAAAAATCATGATTGTTGTTATTATGTTAGTAGTTAAGATTGTAAAATAGAATTTTTAACTACTTTAATATTGGTTATGTACAGTTACTTATTTACCTAGTTATTTATTATTAGTCAGTTATTATTTTTTAAATATTGATAAAATAAAGAATTTAATTTTAATGTAGTTACATTAATGTCTATGTAGAAAAAAACGCAAGATTCTAAATTCGTTTAGATTTTTTATTTGCGTATTTAGGCTTATTATAGCAAATATTACGTTTTTAGTGTAATATAAATTAATTCTTCTCTAGACCTTTTATATTTAAAATGTTTAAGTTATTTTTAAATTATTTTTCACATTTTAACACAAAATTATTTCTAATTTTATGTGTAAGATAATTCTAATTAAACTTTAACTAATTGTTTTTGATAATTAAGTATAGTTTATCGTATATATCAGTATTTATACTGTAATTGGCACGTAAATATACTTAACTTCAAAAATTCCTTATTGCTTCATTTCACTTCTATGTTGATATTTTCTATACTCTGGTTATCTACTATGGTTAAAAAAACTAGATTTTCTTATAAAAACAATGTTATTATAATATTTATTTATTTAAAATAAAAGTTATATAGGTACTAATATTAATATTATCTATAAATTAATTATTTAAATTTTTCAATAGTTAATATTTAGGTATAAAATAATTTAAATTTAATATAGTATAATAATAAGTTATTTATATTTATTATTCTTTATTTTTAATAGTTCCTAATTATTAACTCGGAATACATAAATATTTTATTAAAAGAATTTTTATTTTAAACCAATTGAAAATTAGTTTAAATCAGCAATAGTTTTTATACATATATATTTAATTTATAATTTTATTATTTATAATTATTACATATTAATTTTTCTTTTTTTCTAAATGTTTTAGATGATGGCATCTCAAATGGAAATTGATGACGATGTAGTTGATTTAAGTATATCAAGGTAAATAAAACATGTTAATATTTTTATAACCTAATATAATATTTTCTTCGGCTGGTTTATAATTGAGGAAAAGATTTATATGCTTAAAAAATTTTCTAAAAATGCTACTGAAAATATTTAATTTATGTTTTTATTTTTAAATGTCCATTTAAAATGTACTATACATAATTGAAAGAATTCATTTAATAGATATTATCATGGAAAAAATTTGCTTTCATTTATATTTAGTCTTCACTATCTATTAAATTTTACTTATGTATAATGTGTGTGAAAAAGAAATTTGAAATATGTGTAAAACAAAATTGATATTGATGATTTAAACCATGTTACACTTTTCTTATCGGATTTAAAATACTTTACTCTAATAAATGTATCTATTTACATTTAAATTTGTTCTTAAATACTTTTACTTATTTACTTTACTAAATAAATACTTTGTTGGATAATATAAGTGGTAACGTTAAATTTATATGTAAGTTAGTTTTGAATTGATTTAAATAGAATTAAATTTAATCACCAATTATTTTAGAGACTTTGAAAAATGTTAAAGCTATGCCCCCATTGTTTTCTTCTATCTATGTTAGGTATATTTATGGTGACCAGATATTACAAAAAAGTATTACAATGTAACATATTATATTATATAGATAAAAAATAGTATATAAATAAAACAACCTTTATTAATTTTAAAACATAACTTACATAACATATACACTTTTAATCTTAATAATAATAAAAAAATGTATCTATATATGAATTGGCTTAAATTATGTGACTTTCATAACAAAATTTTTTTTTAAATAATAAACTTTTAATCAAGAAAACATTCTAAAACTTAAATACTTTTTAATATTATCATCTTTTAACCCAAACATTTAACTTAACTTTTTAATAAGAAATAAAATTTATTATATTTAACAAACTAAATTTTAAAATTAAAAACTATTAATATTTCAAATATTTTTGAGATCTGTGCATTTCTTTAAGCACATTCATCTTTTAAAACATTTCATAACACGCTCAATCATTCAAAAAAATTATCAAAAACTTTAGCATTTTTGACACATTATCATATTTTAACCAAAACATTGAGCTTAACTACTTAATAAAATATATAATTTCATATATTTAAAAACAACTAACTTATAAAAGGAACAAATATCAATATTTTAAATATTTTTGAAATCCGTGTATTTCTATAAGTAACTTTTGATCTGTTTTCAACATATTTAATTTATGTTTTATTTATGTTTCATCAAAGTGTATAAACCTGTATTTCTGATTTTAATGAAGAAATGTCTAGTTGGGATTTTTCAGAATACCAATATTTGTTGATTTGTGAAGATTTGTAAAAAACTGATAAGGATACATTTTATTTTCCTATTACTTTTTCTATGCAATTCATAGTTGTCGATAATTTTACGAATTTAATAATTAGACAATGTTAAAACAAATTTCTATTTAGAATTGGTACATCATTTAAAATAAGTACTTTTTGATGTACTTTAGCCATTTATTAGGGACAATAGGACATGTCTTCAAAAAAAAGTACTGTCCTTATAAAATAATTACATCTAGTCACCATAGGTATACTAGTCATACTTCTGCCCTTTTATTTCCACAGTGCAATTGTTATTTATTATAATTAAAATTTAACAGTCGCACAAATCAATCATTGAGAGATGAGCAACTTTCTTTAAAGAATACTCAACCAGATGAAACTCATAGCCATATGAATGGACATTTGGTCAATGGTTTCACTATAACTGGCAATGATTCTTCAGAAGACAGTGATGATGATATGCCTCTTGAACTTCCTCCATCTCCTAAGGTTTGAACATTTGTTGTAGAATTTAGTTTTTATTCTTATTAATTTATTGATTTACAAATAAGGACTTCCTGGCCCCTGAAGAGATTTGTGAAAGAGAAAAATTGATCAGAGTTCTTAAGGAAAATCTCCGAACTGAAGAAATGACTTTGGTGCTGCTTAAGAAATTGCAACAATCTCAACAAATTAACCAAATTGCTCAGAGTGTCACCATAACACCTCAGGCAGCTCATACTAAAGATCATTCTAATTTGTTGTCATCCCAATTGCCTTCTGGAAAGTCAGCTCAACCACCTATGCCCCATGTACCTCATCATACAAAACCTCCTCCACCACCATTAAATCGTTTAGTAAGTTGAATAATATATTATTTGAATCAAATTTTTCATAACTAATATTTATTTTATAGCCATCATCGTCAAGATCTAATGTTCATCAATCTCATCAGTCTATGTCTTCAACTTCGCCAATGGGTACTAGTAGATTACCTCCTTCAAATGGCATACAAAATTTGCAGAGATCATCCAATGGTCGATCATCAAATTCTGCTCATTCATCACCTTCAATTACTCTTGAACGAGTAATGAAAGACCACCATTCGTCTAGTAGTTCTCAATCGGTATACAAAAATTAAAAAATTAATTGTTTTTTTTATTTCAAATAAATAATTTGAACTATGATTTTAAGGAACGTATGAGAAATGATGATGGCCAAACACCTGCTCAGAGACAAGCAGCCGCTAAATTAGCTCTTAGAAAACAATTGGAAAAGACACTGTTGCAGGTGATTTAATTTTAATTTTTTTTTTTTTATATATACTTATAAACTAATATTTTATTAAAAATTTAGATTCCTCCACCAAAACCTCCACCACCTGAAATGCATTTTATTCCAAATCCGTCAAATACAGAATTCATATATTTACTTGGGTTGGAACATGTTGTTGATTTTATAACTAATGGTGAAATGATAGAAGCTAGTGTACATAAAGAACCGTATAAATGTTCTCAATGTGAATCAAATTTTACACCTGTTTGGAAACTGGAAAAACCATCTAGAAGTATGTTTATATTTGTATAAATGATATAGTTTGACTATTAAAAACTTATGATTTTTTTTTATATTTGCAGATAAAGAACCTAAAATTATTTGTGAACTGTGCGTGACTAGCAACGTAAAAAAATCTCTTAAAGCAGAACATACAAATCGACTGAAGACAGCATTTGTCAAAGCTTTACAACAAGAGCAAGAAATTGAACAAAGACTGGCCCAAGGATCACCTCCATCATCAGTATCTCCAGCGCCAGTGCATCCAATTCATGTTAATCCACCAATGCCGTCCATGCCTAAGCCAGCCCCTGCACCAAAACGTAACCCTACACCTCCACAACCGCACAAAATGCATCCTTCAGATCCTACTGGTGGTAAATTTAATGCTGCTGCTGCAGCTCACCTTGCCCTACAACAACAAATGCTCAGAGGATTGTCACCTCATCCTGCAGCTGCTATGTTGCAGTTTGCACCACTTCTATATCCGTATCAACTAGCCATGGCACAAGCCAGTGGTAAGAATTCGGCTGCTGCTGTAGCTGCAAACCTTGCAGAATTACAGAGACAGGCAGTTGATTTGCAACGACAGTATTTAATGGAGATGATGCCTCAACAAGGACAGTCCCGGTCTGCATCGCAAACGCCTACATCTGCACATAACTGGAAGTCATGATCATAAAGATTAAAGTTTACCAAAGACACATTCAGCTAATGCTTTAACGACGTGTGACTATCATCAATATTGTACATTTCTATTTTCTTTGTACTTGCATCAGAGAGGTCTGTGCCCATTGCAGATATTTTGTACTAATAGCACATTGTACAAGTTGCATATTTTTTTTTGGACAGATCGGAAACAATTATAACAATTGGCTATTAATCATTGCATTCCAATACAGCACACATACACAATATGAATAATATGGCTAAAGTGTTGTATTTATGTTGTTATTTTCCCAAAGACTAGTATAATGCATTGTCTTAACAATGTAAATATTACATTACATCTATTGATGTGTTGTATAATGCTGTCCATGAAAAGGTCGAATAATAAAAATGATGAGAAATAATAATACTGACCTGACCAAATATGCTATATTTGCATCACTACTACTCAGTCATCATGCAGGATTTGACTTTATTATTATTTTTATATTCTAACTTTTAATTATTATTATTATTATTATGTTTCAGAAATTCATGTTTGTTTCCAAACAATAAGTTTGTGTTTGTACAAAATTATGTACAAAATCACTCTGTAGCAAACCTATTGTTTACATTGTTCATTTATTTTGTAAATAGTCCAAATATTTGATTAATGAATTATACATTTATGATATATAAAGATACATTTTGTATAATAAGAGCCATGTTAGTGCGATGGATCCAAAATTGGTTTAATTTTATTTTATTTGATAATTATATATATATATATATATATATATATATATATATTTTTTTTTTTTATGGAACCATGTTACATTTTTTTTATTTATCAAGAATTGTCTGAATGTATTTTTACTTATAATAAAACCATTGTATGTTTTTTAGTCAATTCTGTTTCCATATTGATGTTTACCTGATTCTTGTATATAATAAACTGATAAATTAGTTGTGCAAATTAATTTTTTTAATAAAATAAAATATATAATATTTATAACATAATATTTGAAATTATTTTCTGATACCATCATACATAATATTAAATTGTTTTGAGGGCAATCTTCATTTTTTCTTTCTTATACATTATATAGATTAATATATTTTAATTTTAACAAAATTCATAATTTATTAAATTAAATATTAATGAATAATTACAAAACATTGAAGTAGATTTTCTTATATAATTAAAATAAATATATTTTATTTTATTCCTTAAATGCTTAATATTGTTTATGATCTAATTACTCTGAAAAGGTGACAGTTAAAATCAATATGAAAAAAATTATATTTTTATTTATTAAGATTATTTTTTTGTCATTAAAGACGCAATTAGAAACTCGTAGCAACCATCATTGTTTAACGATACAATAAAAGGTATATACTACAATAATATATGCAACATAGGTATCTATGTAATGAATTATCTTATAATTAAACATTTTATCACTTAAATTATACGTTTAAAAAATTTATCATATTGTTAATGACCATTTGATCATTGATGGTTTTACAAGGAGCCCATATCGATTTATTCTGAGTAAATTATGAGAACATAGTAAACACTTGTAGGCTGTGGCGTTCTCAGGAATTTTCAATGGGGGGGCTCTGAAAATTTACTAGAATACAAAAGTGGAGGGCTCTGCCCCCCCCCCCATAGTCATAATATTTACAAATTTTGTACCGTCTTAAAAAACCAAATTGTTAAATTAATAGCACGTTCGTGTCATAGAACATGTTCTATGGTCGTGCTCCAATCCAACTTGATAACCGTGATACTGGTAACTGATGACGTACAAACTACAAAATTATAATCAATAAAATCAATAATCAATTATTATTAAATTATTGGAATAATTTAAAAAAAATACGGCTTATGGGGGGGGGGTTCAAACCCCATAACCCCCACATGAGTACGCCACTGCTTGTAGAATTACTTATATGCAGTGGTTAAAGTGGAGGGGGACGGAGTCCCCCTTCTTATATAAGTTAAGTATATGCGTCCTCTTTAATTTAAGTCGTCAAAAGTCCGGATGGACGCTTTATGACGTTGGTCACTAAAATACAATATTGAATATACAATACTTATAATATTACAATATTACATGAAATTTATTTTCTTGATTAATTTGAACAAGTGGAAAAAATTTCGGAGAAATAATAATTAGGTATAACGATAAGAAAAAATTTTCTATCAGCTTCTCTAACCTACCTATGTCGTTACCTACAAAACCCATCTTTCCTGGTGAAATTCAGTATATAATTAAAAAATTACCTCCCGGCAAGACACCTGGAAATGACCTCATTACAAACAAAATTCTGAAAAATCTGTCTCTCAAAATTTTATCATTGCTCACCTACATACATAATTCTATGCTAAGATTTTCCCACTTCTCTAAAATCTGGAAATTTGCAGTCATTATACTTGTACACAAACCAAATAAACCTAAACACTTATCTTCGTCATACCGTCCCATAAGTTTACTTCCAGTCCTTGGTAAACTTTTCGAAAAGGTCCTCCTGAAAAGATTACGTCCCATCCTTTAAAACAACCATATCATACCGAATAATCAGTTTGGTTTTCGAAACAGGCATTCAACATCCATCAAGTTCATCGTCTTACTGATGAAATCTCAACTGCTCTCGAAAATAAAGAATACTGTTCCGGACTATTTTTAGATTTTGCTCAAGCATTCGATAAAGTGTGGCACGATGGGTTACTATACAAATTAAAACTTTTTATGCCAGCTCCCTACTATCTTATTATCAAATCTTAACTACAAAATCGTTCGTTTGTCGTATTACAGGGGAACGATATTTCTACTATATATCTACTCACCCAATATATGCTAGAGTTCCACAGGGTAGTGATCTATCCCCTGATTTATATAATGTATTCACAACAGAAATCCCTCAATCTAGTAACACCCTTCTAGCAACATACGCTGATGACATAGCTATTTTTTCCTCCAGTCCAAATCCTATCTTAGCTTCAGCTGAACTTCAGGATCATACTAATAAAATTGAAGAATGGGCCAAAAAATGGAAATTAAAAATTAATACGGAAAAGTCTGTACAAGTTACTTTTACGTTAAAACAAACTCCCTGTGAGTGCCCTCAATTAATTATGAACAACGCCCCCATCCCTGTCCAAACAAATATCAAGTACTTAGGCATAACGCTTGATAAAAGACTAACTTGGGGTTCCCACCAAAAAGAAAAAAAAAATCATCGAACAACAGACTTCACCTCCTCCGACCACTCCTAAACTCCAAAATAACACTCCAAAACAAACTTATATATAAGTCAATTATAAGACCAGTCTGGTCTTATGGAATAGCAATCTGGGGTCCAGCAAATCCCTCGAACATCAGGCCAATTCAGGCTTTTCAATCAATTGCGCTAAGATTAGCAACCAAACTTGGAAAACAAACCCTACTACAGTATATCGGTACATAAACATTTATTTTATATATTTTAATTAATATATATATATATATAATAGTTAAAACTAAATATAGTAAGTATAGTTACATATACACACACTACACATATACATAGTGATTTGGTTTTGTGTATTTAAATAAGTCTTTTTATTTATTGTATACTCATTGATTACGAGTATAATATAATCAATATATATTATATACATTATATAAATAATCAATAATGCAATTTTAAATTAATATTCTCAATTCTGTAATGAAATTTAATTTTGATTAAACGTAATGAAAAATGTTTAATTTAATAATTTAGTGTGTTCAACTATTTTATTTTAAGTAATATTGTTTTGCCAACCGAAAACATGACGGACGTATGATAATCTTGCGTCCCCGGGATTCACTTCTCTCAATGGAAAACATCGGTAGTTCGTTATTTAGTATAATATAGATATCTGTGGTAAAATCCAAATGTATCATATTATCGATTTTTACTTTTTTTCCTTGTCTATGGGCTGCCATTTAGTGACCACTGCCGTATAATGTAGAGGACGTAGATTACGTAATACACATATTTTTAGTATACTTACTTCTATTTTCTATGATATGCCTAGTTGACTAGATATTTCGTGGCAGTGAGTGATCTCACCCACGAAATATTTTAATGAATCAAGTAAAATTTTCCAAAATATTAACTTCACCACGCCACTGTTTACAACATTTACTCTTCGGGCAAAATGCATTTTCTCTTAATAATTATTTTTTTTTTGTTTACCTGCTCAGTGCTCACATTGCCACGTGCCTTCTCACAGTAAATACGTTAACATCTATTGAGATCGGTGTTGGAACTTATCTAGATAGATTTTTTGTCATCTTTTATCTTATCTACATAAATAACGCTCAGTTATCTAATTACTTATCTAAGATAAAATTTTTACTTATCTAGATAATTGTCTGTATTAGAGTTATTTTTATTCTTGTACGGAAACGAATCCAACAAATCAGAGATCCTCAAAATCAGTCCAGCCGTTCTTGAATTATAAATTCTGTAAATAACCTGACTTTCTTTTATACATAGAGATTTTATATTCATAATCATATTTCGTGTATTATTAATAAATAATTATTATTTCTTCTTATTATTTTTCTTATTTTTCTCACATTTTGTTTGTATTTTCATGTCGGGAAAATAGTTTTGGTATTTTTAAACTTAATTTCTTATTTTTCCATGGAAGTTCCAAATATAGTAGGTATTTGATTTTGCTATACACATGTAACTCATACGCTGAATAGTCATTACTTCACTCTCGGAACCCGTCAAGTCGTAATTACTTATAGAATAATGAAAATCATCAAATAATATTATATTGAAAACAATATTGTTGACTTAAAATAATTTTTTATGTATTCTGTATTCATCCTGATACGCACAGAGAAATTTTTATTTAATTTTTTTTTTGTGTTACATTTTAGTGATTAACTATCATTGAATATTGTACATTATATATAAATACTGCTTAATGGTACACTACATTACTATAATGAACATTAAACACCTAGGTATCTATTGATAATAATGATTATAATTGAGTCTTCATATATGAAATATTGACTAAAAAATAACATTTTTTGAAAATATCTTTTTTTTTATCTAGATAAAAATGAAATTATTTTTTATCTTTATTTAGATATTTTAATTTTTTTTAATTATTATCTTTATCTAGATGAATTTGGACATATTATCTTTCATCTTTATCTAGATGAATTTCACATTATCTATTCCTAACACTGATGATATATGTCGAAATTAATAAAATTATTGTCATGGTTCGATTCATTTCAAGGTGGATATATATCCACATTGATTCATTTATTAATAATTATATCTTCATATTATTTGAAATTATTATTTCCAATGATGATATCGGCAGGAGGTAAGGTATACGTAAAGTATACTTTGACGAACATAATCATTTGTAGTCTGCGTGTCTCCGTGTATATTTTATTTTGAATGAAATATGTCGCAACAAAGTAACAATATAAAATTAATTACTGGTCAACGAGGCAATTTATTGGTTTTATTTAACAACTAACTACAAATATAACCAAAATATAAAATATGCGTCTGGTGAAATGAAATGGAGGTATGATATTATATAATATTATAATAATAATATGCACTTATTATTACTAATTACGTATTACTTTTAATAATATATCAAATTAATTTTATAATACTACTCGATTTTCTTCACTGACAGTGTTTACATGTATTCAAT